CGGCTCGCGCTTGTATAATCCCTCAGCATAGATTCTGTCGTCTGTCGTCAACCGGTGACATATCTTTGTCATTGCTGCGTCATTGTTCTCAAGAATCTTTGTCATTTCACGAGCAATGACAAGATCTCAAAAGATCACGCAGTTGAAAAGCCTTGCGTTAATACTCCCAATCGTGTGTCTCTTCTTCTTAATGTCAAGGACCCTCTGTTATAAATTTTATCGCTCATCGACTGATATGAACTTCTACACCAGATTGCATGATGTGTGTCGGTTTTGCGTGAACGGCAGAGCCAACGAACCTCATGCTGGTTACTCAAGGACTACTCTGATCTGGGAGGTTACTTGGACTTGGTGATCAAAGACCGACGTGTTTTTGACAGTACATCTAATCTGTGGAGTGGATGATTTTATGCTTCTTATCGCCGAAGGTGTCACTGATGAAAATTTACTTATTGAGTCTTGAAGCGCCGGCCCTACATGAAACTCCTTGATCATAGCGTTAACATCTTGACGTGACTTGATGTATCCAACGCAAGTGCATTGAAGCACTCTCCTCAGTGCAATCTGATAGAGACCAATTTGACAGTTGCAAATTGCGTCTTGTATTGCCCAGGTCTGCTCACGGATTAGCCTTGCCTCTCCATCTCATCGTAAATGGACAATAGATTCGTACGAAGTGGTGTACTTCAAAACCACGGTGGGTTTGACAAACGAGACAGTAAAACATACCATAATTAAATTTTCGCAAAATGTAAGACGGCTTTCTTTTTTATTACTTTCTTGTGTGCGCTTCGTACGTTAACGCGATGTGCGGCACAAATGACGCAACAAATGACTTCCAATGTAAAACTGTTATTCCAGGCTATAACGGTGCTGAAAGATTTAAAAGTAATTACCACTCTACATTCACCCATGGACACACAAACGCTTACCTTGTTAATCCTGATTATCCTCCGAATACTTATACCGCTCTGGCTGGTCTTGCTTTCCATTGGCATTGCTTACAGGCCATCGCATTGGTATAACGACCTTGATGGCTGTAATTTGCGACCGCGATTTTTCGGCGGTTGGGCCGTTCTCCCTGGCTGCCATGGTGCGTTAAGGGTCGAGTATATTACTTTGTCGTTTGCTCAGGGTTGGTTCACAATACGGTAATTTGCCACAGTAAACCAATGACGAAAAACTAATTACCTAGTAAAAAATTTATAGAAAGTTTAGCCATACTGACACAAAATCGTTTTTGCAATAACATGAGCGATCGCTACTACAATCGCTTCCTCGGTAGCCCCAATGTCGCTGCCGCGGCTCCTTCAGATGACAACGATCAAACACGGATGCAAGAAGTGGCCTTGACGTGAGAGGTCCTTCTATGTCTACAGACGCAGTCGATCGTCTCTGTTTTCTCGAAGACATGGCCGACGATGAGCTTCTCAGTTCTGTTGTTGATCGCCCTTTACTCATGAAAAAAATAATGTGTTGATGGCCGATCAAGATGTTTCAGGTGTCAAGACCAACCCTTTTTCGCCGTTTCAAGCGTCTCACCGTCTTTTTGCTTAGTTATTTCCTCGAAGCGTGGTGCTCCCACAGATACCAAGCATCAAAAGGGGGGGGGGATTCTTACAGTCGCGCAGCGGTTAGTTACATTGCAGAGACAAGGAGGGGTAGGGCAGTAGCCCAGAAAAAGTCCTTTTTGCACGAATCATAAGGTTAATGACCTAAATGACCTTTAACAGACATTCGTTAAGTCTTTAGGAAATTAGGGGAACCTATCCTTATGTGACAAGCTGAGTACAATGAATTTTGCAGTATTACCCCTCCTTGTCACTTTTCACATTTGTACGTGATTTTACGTAGCCCTGGTACTAAATTGCCTGACGGGACAATGGGTCCAGTCCGTGGGGGGCCGAGCCACTCATCGTTATTAAGCTCGTTTTCTCCTGTGGATTGGGGCCAGGGCAATCTTAGCCCAGTCTCCTTAACTCTAGTATTAATGACATGTGACAAAAAGCCCCCCCGGCGCATGAGGGGCAGCCCCCCCGGCGCTTGAGGGACAGCAACCCGGCGCCTGAGGGGATATTATCATAATAGTATGTAGTTGCTTATACTCTTGTTAGAGATAGGGTAGCTTTTTAAAGGTATCTTAGGTCTTACTGATAGAGTAACTAGTAACTAAAATTCTAAAAGGATAATAGTAATTAGCCCCCCGGCGCTTGAGGGTATTACTAATACAGTATAAAATATAATAATATAGTAAAAATAAAGACTATATGGTAATGCTTGTTAGTCTATATATAGTGCTATAATTCATGACGAGATAGTATTTTATATAAAAGCAAAACTGATAGTATTTTCAAGTCTGATTACAATATAATAACTAAATTAATTCTGTATAAGAGTAATGCTGGTTGTGAACACGAACGAAGCGATGGTGCCGGAAGTATTAGGAATGTAGAAGTCTTCCTCTTTGATATATATATCTTCTGATAATGATCCTGTACCCACTGCTGAATGTGATTACTGTATTAGTGTGCGCTTTATCAATAGAGGTCACGAATTCTCGGGATTCTCTGACAGATATCGCGTCGTATACTCCTGAAGTGCGATAAAGTAGGTGTCGATTTATACATATATTTAGTTTACATAGCGGCTCGTTGACTGCTATTTAAGGTGTAGTGTTATTTAGGCCCGCGTGGGTCTTCTTTTTCCACACGTACGACAGACAACATGGGACGCCAGACGTGGCAACGAGCGGGTTGGCATTACAGAACGGGAATAGCTCGGCAATTTACAGTATCGACCTCCAATCGACCTCCGTTTCAGTTTTCCACTGCGCACCGGTACCGGTATCTTGCTTCCGGGTACATGTATCTTGCTTCTTTAACACGCCCCTGTATCTTGCTTCCGGGTGCGATGTACCAATATCTTTACTGTCCGAAAAGTAACACAGCAAACAAGCGCCTCTTCGAGTGCTTCCCACCACAACAAAGAGACAACATAAATCAGTAATAGTACACTATGATGACCAGCACCAAAGGGCTCGACCCCAAGGGGTTGACTTATCTCGAGGGAGAAGGGTTTCCTCGGGGTCTGATTGACGCCATGGTGGCTTTGAAGAAGGACTGTGCCGAACAGATTTTTGTCATTGACAATTCCGAGCCCATGAACCAACCAGACGGTCACATCTTGTCCAAGACTAATACGAGCGATGGCAATAAGCTGTGCTTTGAAAAGGCCACTCGTTGGGAAGAACTGAAAATGTGTGTGAAATCCCACATTCAAATTGCCGGAGCGCTCAAGATTCCCGCCTCGTTTCGGCTGTTGAATACTGCCACGGACGGTGCCCATGTGGACGGTCAAGAATTTTCCATTGGACAGGGGAAAGGAGGAGTGTACGATGTCGACACGGAAGTTCAAACGGCACTGGAAATCATGGACAAGATCAAACCCCATTCGCGGTCTCCTCTGACCAAGAGCATTCTCCAACTACTGAGGGATATTGAATCCAGAAAAGAAGAGATCAAAAAGCGGGGCAAGCACGTATCTGTGGTGTTGTGTACGGATGGAGTACCCAGTGATTCCACCAGAGAATTTCTGGTGGATCAGTTGAAGAAAATATTAGGGGAATCCCTTCCCGTGCATATGGTTGTCCGGTTGTGTACCGATGAACCCAGTGTCGTCGACTTTTACAATGATCTCGATAAGGATCTCAATATTCGTCTCGACGTATTGGATGATTTCCAAGGAGAAGCCCTGGAGATTTGCAAGATCAATCCATGGTTGACTTACTCCCTACCCTTGCATCGAGCACGGGAAATGGGCTTTAACAGTCCTTGTTTGGACAATCTCGATGAAGGACCTCTTTCCAAAACCGATCAAAAGGAATTGTGTGACTTGCTCTTTGGCAAAGATAAGATGTATCTCTCTCCTTCGCCCGAACTGGATCCGGAAGGCTTTTTGGACCATGTCAAAACTCTACAACAAGACCAAACCGAGCAGTGGGTACGTACAATCAATCAATCAGAGCAACACCGCCAATGTGGCGCATTCGTGTGCACGGACAAACATGCTAATAACCAATCCTTCCTTCGTCACTATCGACAGGATCCCATCATGGAAGAAACCAAACCTTGGATTGATGTAGATTTGGTCAAAAACCCAAAGGAAAAAATGGCCAAGATGAGACGCATCACGCAAAAGAAGAAAGGAAAATGGTTCGCTGGTGTGTTGGGAATCAAAAGGTAGACCGATGGACCGAAAAAACCATCCAGGGAGGCTACGAGAAAGGCAACAACGATTATCTTGAACGAACGGACTCTCTTGCACACAACACTGCCAAACTTGCACCTCATCATCAATGCGTACATATTCCCGTCGTCATATTCAAAAACAACAACTCCACTCATGCTTTATTGCACGATATCGCAATGCAGCCAGCGAAGATTAGATCTGCTGGCGGGGATGAGAGGCCTCTCTGCGGCATTGTGCAGCGTTTAGATTGACCCCTACTAGCTAGCTAGAGCGCACGGACGGCTGAGTCGAGTCGTTCTTGCTAGCAATGTACTGCATAGCTACTATTGGCGTGCCTGTCGTGTCTTTTACTAGATAGCTTCTCCTCGTACTCGAACCAGTCTACTTTACCGTGTTGAACTTTCCCTTCCCGGCCGTCTTGGCGTCCTTGTCGGGGGCAATGTCGTCGACGCCCAGTTTATCCAGCAGTCCTCCGGCCACCTGGCTCTCCTTTTCATTCAGAACGGTTCCGTACCACGTAGCGTCGGCAGCCGCGTATTCGTAACCCCCCTTGTCTTTCTTCGTTTTGTTGTTGTTGGCCTTCTTCTTACCAGCGTCATCATCGGCTGCCACCGCTGACTGACTGCCGACCACGATCGCGGCGCCGGCAGCGAGTGTGGCCCCAAAACCTCTCCTACTAGAAATGGTGACAGCGACGGGAGATTGTAGGCCATGGCAGCATCCCGAGAAGAGAGTTACTACCAATACAACGAAAATAACGAGCCGCATCTTCCTAACTTATGATAATGAGTAAGTCAATAGACGATAGAGGGCGGGGAACATTGAGGCTTCGTCTTGTCATTTTTGATCATGCTGCAGCATGCACTGACTCGAGACATGCGTCATCGAGACATCCACGATCGGCCCAAAGATCCACCCCAACGTGGAAAAACCGCAGGTCACCACCACGGACTGAATACTTCGATGCCTGGCACGGATAGGGCGGTCACACGAGACAAGGGTACCCGGTAACTCGAGTGTTTCACTTCATAATAATTCTTGAAGAGTACTGTCTTCAGGAACAGTGCACGTATACTGGCCATTTCTGAGAAAGATGCGATGCTGCTCAACAAGCCTGGCTCAAAAGGCATCAAGTGGCAAGATCTTTGTGGAAAATGCAGAAATTCCTATTAGGTATGGGGCGCATCCCGAAGTATGACAAGGGCTCCCCACACTGGTAAAGGAGGGAGAGGGGAGGAGGAAGAGGGAGATAGATATCCATAACACAGTAGACCACCCTGCAGCTGGTGGAGCGAGATGGTTGTGGCAGACCCATGACACTACCTCCAAGCAACAGTCGACTCGTCACTGGGGATGGGCAAATCTTGCAATAGCCCTGGAGCGTTCCTCAATCGTGCATGACTTTAAATCCGACCCTAAAACGAAACCCGACCCTAAATTAGGGACGTTTTTTCAGAAACCGTCCCTATTTTTCAGAAAACGTCCCTATTTTTAGGGTCGGTTTCGAAACCCGACCCTAATATTGGTGCGTTTTCAATGTATTTACCAGGCAGTCCCGTTTCTATTTAGGGACGTTTTTCAAACCCGACCCTAAAACGAAACCCGACCCTAAATTAGGGACGGTTTTTCAGAAACCGTCCCTATTTTTCAGAAAACGTCCCTATTTTTAGGGTCGGTTTCGAAACCCGACCCTAAAGGGAACCCGACCCTAAATCCGACCCTATTTTAGGGTCGGTTTATGCACGATTGAGGAACGCTCCTGTATTGTAATGGAGTGTGACTCGCCAAAATCAGTTAAAAAGACGAAATTCGTATTTTGGCCGGAAGATAAATTTAATTGGATTGCATTGGATTGGATTGCATTGAATTGAATTGAATTGGATTCGAAATAGTACTGTTATTTATATAGTAAACTGTAATTCAATGCAATCCAATCTAATCCAATGCAATCCAATCAAATCCAATAGAGAAAAACAGCCAAAGTAAAAGATTGGCTTATCGCACACAATTTTTACAAAAACGCTCTAACAAATTCAACACAGAGCCATGGGTAAGTTTGCTCATCCTCACTCAGTCAACTGAAATGAATAAACCAGTAGGTCAGCCTACACATTTTAAAAAGAGAGGGGTACCAAAAGGGACCTGAGCATTCATCGGATGAAGGATGACATACATTTTTCTTCTTCATGGTTTCTCCCCCCCCTTCCTTCTAGGTTTATCCACATTACAAGGAGAATCTATGCAAGTGTGGTACCTCGTTGATCAAATGGACTGCAGAGAAAGATGGTTGGCAGACATCAAGTGGCAATCTTTGTGAAAAGTGCGTTCTGAATAAAACACCTCCCCCCTGCATCACTTTTGCGAAGTTTCACAACCTCCTCAGTCATGATGCATTGGTCTCCTTTTCGAAGGCGCGGTGGAACGTGGGGCTTGCCAACTTCAATGCAAGCATCAGTGGAGCGTAGGGAGAAAGGCGACAATGATTATCGCGCACGAACGGACTCCCTTGCACTACAGATTTCGGTTGTCATCTTCAAAACAAGAAGTCACTCATGGTACAAGGCATGATATCGCATGCAGTCAGTGAAGGTTAGATCTGTATGTGGGGATTAGAGGCCTCTCTGCGGCATTGTAAAGCGTGTAGATAGACCCCTAGCTAGGTCGCACGGACGAATGAGTCGAGTCGTTCTTCCCATTCAGATGTGGAATGGCCTTCACTGTTCTGACCATGACTATATGGATACAGTACGGTGCCGTGTCCTGCTGTCTTGGGCTTCAGGTTGTCTCGTACATCATGATCACCAACCACTGCAGTGATAAGTCAACAAACGAACATCTAAAAAAAACTGAACATCTAATAACAGATTCAGACAAGATGTGCTTGAGGAGGACCCACGAGCCGAGGCCCGGGTATTTCCCACAGTCAAGTCTGCTCACCAAACGAACATCTAGCTTCATGCGGGTAGGTGCAATGAGTTCTCTAAATATTGTGTCTTTTTTAAAATGAGGTTTGTGGGTGAACATATGCATTCGTCATGAAGTGTGCGGTACGGTCAAGTGATGGTCGAGTGCGTTATGTCAGGTTCAAAATCAGGACTTGCGTTCGTTGCTCCAGCCATAAAACAGCCAACCTTTCTTTCGTAATCCATTGAACCCATTCGGTTCTTGCCAGCGTCAATTACTCCACTTCTTCAGCTCCTTCAAGGATGGCCATCGCAGATTGAAGGATTTTACTAATGGGTGTGGGCCGTCCTGTGCCTGGGGTGCCACTCTTGACAACTGGAATTTGGTTCTCGGATGCTGATTGCCCTCCTGCCACCATGGTCTCGACCTGGATCAACTGCCATTGAAGAGCACTATCCGGGATGGGCATCGCCCCGGTGGCATCTTCATTGGCACCATCATCGCGGACGTCGTGGTTGTTTGGATTTGGGTTGTTGCTATTGCGGCAGAGTGCGGTGGTCGTCATCTCCATCTATCTTTTCTCCTTTCGTTGTCTGGTACCAGGTATCGTTGCGTATCGCCCTTCGTGTTTTTTGTGACCGTGCGACTGGGAGGAAGGCAAAAGGAAAGGAGAAGAGCCGCGTACAGGTACGGTACAGTATGTAACTGAGTAACGCGCTGGTGATCTATTGAAAGCGTGACAAGGAGAAAGGGGTAAAGACATTGTATCATATAGCTTAATTGTTTCCGTTAATACCCCCAACCCCCAAGTACCTGTACCTGGTACGGTGATTACTGACTGTGACTGAAGAATGCTTTGTCTGAGAGAGTGGGTAATCCCAGCTTAACACAGATTATTCATTTTAAAGCCTCACCATCTTCATTAGATTAGAGATGAAGACCCCTTTATAACATGGAAATCCTTTCATTCTTTGCTCTCACCTGTTACTAGTATCCAGTCTCTGCGGAGGGTCTTTTTCCTCTTTACGTCACGTTGTGAAGCCTTTTGCTCTCATTCCATGCAGGCACCGTTGAGCTGTCCAGCCGAAACGCTGCATGAGGTCCTGCAATGTCTTTCCCTCTCTTGTGCCCAACTCGTCTTCTAAGAAGAAAGAAAATAGCAATGCCCACAACTTTGCCAGTATCCTGGGCCAAGAAGATTCCTTTATGAGTCGTTACCAATACACCAGCCCCTCTCTTTACCCTTGTCATCAGGCAATATTTCCATTATCATGAGCCAAGAAGATTCCTTCCTGAATCCTCACCAATACCCCAGCCCCTCTCTTTACCCTTGTCACGTCAGGCAATGGGTCGACAATGCCCAAGGAATACTGACAGATCTTGAAGATATAGCAAGCGTCGTGAGCGATGGGGGCAGTAGCATAGGTACATGTAGCACTTTGGCATCTGCAAAATCAGAATCCAGTTCATCCCATGACAAGTCATCCCATGGTGAAAGAATAGACGATTCCGAGGAAGTCATGTGCGCCGTCATTGGGGAAAACTTTGTTGGCTTTTGTCATTGTGACGAGCTGCCGCAAGTAGCGTACCGTGCTGGCTAGCTAACCATAGAGACGGAGAGCGCACACAAGAAGAAAACCAAGGGAAAGCTTGTACCACAGGGAGATAAGTGTGGACGGCATCATTTGCGGGGGAAAAGGGCCGGGGAAAGAAAAGAATGGCAGCGGGCATCCCCAACAGGAAAGCAATCTTCACCGCAAACTCGCTGCCCCACCGTTCGCACATGCCGCTACCACGAACTTACATACGGAGCATGTCATAAACTTGACTGGACAACGACAATGCACAATCTGGTACCAAAGATAGTGCCCATCGGTATGCTGTTTAGAAGGAACGTAGGAGTATGCAAATAAATCACTGCAGTTTCTTTTAGGCGTCCTATGGCCTGCGTTAGCTATTCCGAATCAGAGAGATGGCCAAATGAGTTTGGGTAGAGTCACTCTTCACGACCTTCACATGTGCTTTTTGGCTGTTTGGGGGAGCGCAGTTATGTAGCTCTGAGGGAGATCTCCTCTGCGATAGAGGAGGAACGATGACAGGACCACTATTGCGCCAATATTCCTTGCCCAAGTCCAAAGCTTGGGTTGTCGAATTGAATCCACGAATGACACGAGAAGATTGGCTCGAGGGATCCTTCCAATGAATGGCAGAGGCCGAGAAGTCGCTGTGGGTGTGATACACGGCTTCAGCTGTGTAACATGTATACCAATCGGACCACATCCATAGCTTTTGAAGGTCTCTAAAGTCTTGTGAAGATAGAGATGGAGAGGAATCTGCTGCAGACGAGGGAGGATCATAGTGATGATTGTAGTGACGGCGGCCGCCTCCCGATAAGTAGACCGAATGGATCACTTCTTTCCATGGTGGATGGGACCATTGATAGGTTCGCTCAAAGTAATTGTACCACTGGACGTTGTTGGTTACCAAGTAGGGTTTCTTCTGGGAATCATTGGTGCTTCCATTCTGCAGGAGTTCTCCCAGGGCCTTGAGTGAAGTTGGATCCAACCCATGCCGAACGTCATTTGGGCCGTCCTCTTTGCGCAAGTGCACCACAACTGCCGGCGGAGATACGGGCAACAGCTTGGACAGTGCACGGTTGGGCTTGTAAAATCGTTCAAAGTAGCGCGGAGGAATGACAGTGTTGCCGCCGACCGTGTTGGGCCACCGTGGATACATGTTGTTGCGTAGATACCAAACCGAAGTGTTGGACTGTAGCTTTTCTTGAAGCTCACATTCGTCTATGGGACGACTATTGAAGTTGAGCAACGTCATGGTGTATTCCAGAGGTGGTCTGCGATAGTTGTAGGGTCTGAGCCTACTAGTGCGCTTTTCTTCGTCATCCATGCGGGCTTCCCAATCACGAATCACTTGTGGACACCACCGAGTAGCCATCGGGTGGACCTGTTCAAAGGCAAGCCAAAAGTCATCGAATGCTGGAGAAACACAGACGATGCGATCAAACTCGTCTCCGAGGAGATGGGCGGCCAGCAAACCCTGCATGTGATTTCCAACGCCTTGTCCCGTAATGTCGCCTTGAAACATGAGAAATCGTAGCGTGTTGCCCTGTTCATCTTGGTATCGTTTCTGTTCGAACAGCCGCGGATGGTGGCTTTGTCGGTGGGCATTCGGTTGATCTCTGCTACTGCTGGTGGTACCATCGGAAGTGAGCCACTCGAATTCGAATTGTAGTCGTTGTGGCAACTCATCTTCAAGCCGTTGCAATCGTTGGTGAATATGCCAAATGATTCCTGTCCAGGTAAACAGTGTCACAAAGACGACACAATTGTAAGTCCTTGTTGTAGTGCTACTATTAGCCATGATGATATGATTGTTCGAGACTCTTTGGCTTCCCTTCTAATCCACGAATTCGTCAGCGTCATCGATCCCTCAGTGGTGGCAAACCGTTACGAATTTGGCGTTGTCGCGCACCTCTCACATCCGAGGCGACCGAACCTCTTGCGCAATGGACCACCACCATGAGGAAGACACTCGTGGTACATGATTTGTGCTTGTCTCCAATACAAATTGTAACGCTGCTGTTCCTCGTATTCCATTCCTCTGTTGGCAGTTCCTCCGCGTGGTTGCTGTATAGTCGTACCCTCAAGACGTATCCCCGGTCTCGTGTACTACCACCAAGAATGACATCCACCGACGACGACAAACCAATCAACAATGCCATGGTTCGTATTCGAGACTGCGACTTGCAAAACAATAGCGATCGAACGAGCTTGCTTTCCTTGGTTCGCGAGCTCCAGGCTCACGAAGTGGCCGTGTACGACCGGATGAAACGCCCGGAGGACCTTGGCGACGATTATCTGGCATATCTGCAGGACGAATGTCACGAACATGCGGGTCACATTTTGTTTGCCGTCAACGACGAAACAACATGCGTGCAAGGCTATGCCGTGGTCTTGACCCACATGACATCGGCGGACCAAATCGAAGAAGTGGACTACAAGTACGGCAGCGTGACGGAATTGGCCGTGACGGCCACATCCCGCGGCCAGGTCATTGGGCAACAATTGCTGCAGGAATGTGAGCAACGGGTCCAAAAAGCAGGTGTTTCCTATATGCGGACCGAAGTGTTGGCCAGTAACCCGGGAGCACACAGAGTCTATCACAAATTTGGATTCCCGAGATCATTTGATCATGATGGAGAAGAAGTTATGAAAGCGTAAACTTGACTGACGTAAACTGATTCATCTAGTCACTATGTAGTTACTGTTTCTTGATACAACCAGCTTGCCTAGAGCAACGGCGGTTTGTACCCTCGCACAAAGGGCTGCTCCTCCTGATTGTCATTTTCATCATTAGGACAAGGACTGATCATCCATCCCTTCAACAATTCGTGCATATAATCGGGCGACGATACCGTGACACCGGGACTGACAATGAAATAGTGTCGCAACCATTGCGATGCCGCTCGCGAAATGTCCATCATTTCCTGTAGGATGGGAGCATTTTCAGAAGCACAAATATCCAATTTGAGTGCTTCCAATTTATCGGCATTTTTTGACTTGATGTGTTGCGTATTGGGCCGGACGTGCAACGCGGGTGGCAAATGGTCTCGCGGCAATCCCAAAAAGTGTTCGAGATCATTGCGAAATTGTCGTGCTCGTGTCACATTCGTATCGGCGAGTTGTTGCAATTCCATGAAAAAAATGGGATTGGGAAGCCGTTGTTCCAAAATATCGTCTCGCGTAGTCGCAGGATCCAACCACGGCGAGAGTAGATTCCATTCTTGTGTTTCTGTCAATGCGGTTTTTCCGAGTGTGGCCAAAATGGCATGAAATTCTCCCTTGGCGGTGGACACGTAGTGGTGAGTATTGCCCTCGTGATCGCGGCCTCCTCGGTCCACAATTTGTGCCGCCTCGATCGTTGCTTTGTGTCGTCCCTTTTCAATTTTAAAGTAATTGTAAATGGACACCATCCATTGGACGGGATGGCGGACCGTGACAATCAATGGCGTGTCCGGCCAATATTTGGTCAACAAGGCGCGTGAATGAGGACGTCGAATGTCACTGGGATTTTTGAATCCTTTCAGAATGCGTGCATCCTGTGTTTGTTGCAGTTCTTGTTCCTCGACGGCAAATTGGTAGAGTTTGCGAACCAATTGCGTGGGACGTCGATTGACGAGGAATTGGGCTTCGTAACTGGGCGCTCGGACTTGTACTGATTGTGTACTTGTAGTAGAGTTGCTATTGGTTTGTTGGAGCCATTGGAGCAGCGTGGTGGTGCCGCACTTTCCAAATCCAACCACGGCAAAATCCAATAGGAATTGCACGTCGGCAAGAATTTTCGGTTGTCTATTGTTGTTATTGTTATTGCTGATCAGGGACTCCAAGGGTGGCAAGACAAAGTCTCGCTTCTTTTTGTTGTTGTTGTTGTTGTTGTTGTTGCTGCTGTCTTGCTTTTCTTCTTCTTGTTGATGGACAAGTTCCTTCTTGGTGCGTTCTCGAGCTCCTTGCATCAAGAATTCCTTGGCCTCTTTCAGCGAAAGCAGAGATGACTGTGATGAATCAGAATCGGATGAGACTGTTGTCTGTCCCTTGCTGGGCGACGAGTGAGAGTCGTGGTATTGATAATGTTCCTTGGCTTCTTCTGCCGAGAAAATTGTTGCTGATTCTGACGTTGCTGTCTGTCCTTGATTGGCTTGATGATGCAGTCTTGTTGTAACCGTCGTTGTTGTAGACTCTAGTTTGAGACTATTGGTGGGTATCGGTGAAGAAGAAGAAGACTCCCAAAGTCCTCGATTGGCCACAGAAGCGGCAATCAGCAAACCCACCATGGACGCTTGCAGACACAATCCCACATAGTGTCGTCTTGGTTTGTTGTTGGCAGTGTTACCACTGCCGCCAATACTATTGTTGGGACTCATGGTCGTACTACTAGTAGGATGATGCAGAGTCATCGTGGGACGCTGTCGACGCTTATTGCTACATAGTAAGGCCATGTATCATATCAAGTATCAAGTAGGTATCACAAAATCAATACAGCTGTTCGTGCTCCTCGTCTTGTCTCTACCAAAATTTCAGATTGAAAGGTGCGCCTTGTTCATCGTTGTCACTTCTTTCTCATCTGTCTTTGCCTTTTTGGTTTGAGTTATATTACGCAACGGTTCACACTATTTGCAAGCTACTTTCGTGTATTTTTTCGCACACAGTTATAATTTGAGTTACTGCATGTAGTTGTTTGTTCTTATTTTATATTGCTACAAATTTAGCTGGTTATTAGGAACGACCATACCACGATGACAGCACCGCTTCCCGTCTGCTCAGCGAAGTTAAGCATCGTCGGGCCAGGTTAGTACTACGGTGGGGGACCACGTTGGAATCCCTGGTGTTGTTCTTTTATTTTGTTGCTTTGGATGACATGTTTTTTATGGAGATATCCACTCTTGGAGGACGCTTGTCCATTGTCGTAGAACATTTTGCGGTGCTTCTATCTGGCTAGCTAGTTACAATGATGGTCACCAGCCAGAGCTAGCTAGTGAGCACCAAAATGCATCTCGGCGCCCTTCAGAATAGCGGTTTGTGTATTACTATACTGATCGGCGGCAGGTACCGCTACGGTACAAGTGACAGTCAATTAGGATTCAAATTATCAACAATTCATTTGACAAAGGCAACAAAAATCAGCTGAATCGGATCTGCTTTTTGCGGTTCGTGGCTTATTGTCCTGTGCTACTACCGTACGTCTCTCACTCTATCAAAACCCCTGCGCCTTTTCGGGTTGTTGTCCGTCCACGGCTTTTTGCAACTGCGAATATTCCTGTTCCACAATCGTATCTACAACCATACCCGCTAGTTTTTGACCGCCGCGAGGAGCAATGTACGGGCCAAAACTCACGGGAACCTTCTTTTGGTGGCTACCAGCATCCCATACTTTGCCACGGATAAACGATTTGGCACAATGAAAGAACGCGTATTCCACGTGAATTTGAAGCACCAATGTGGCCGGACACCCTCGGATTTGTAGTTGTTGGCACAGTTGGGGATTTTTGGTCAATGTGGCCGTGCCACCCAGTCGTAATGTCGTGTTCGTGCCGGATACAATGGCGCACAGACCAATCTTAGGGTTTGTCAAGAGATTTTGAAATCCAAACAGTAATCGATTGCCGGGTCGATCGGGAAGGAGCAATTTGCGTGGACCGGCCACGTGGAACAATGATCCCGGGGGGTCTCCTTTGGGAGATACTTGGAGATGACTAGTGCCAGTATTGTTGGTTTCGTCGTCGTCGTTGTTGTTGTTGTTGTTGTTGTTGTTGTTGTTGTTGTTGTGTGGGGACATTGTGGCCAAGAAGCAGAGATTGGCATGTCCCAAGAATTCCTTCATTTGATCGTCGATATGATCAATCACCTTGACGGCATTGTCCATTCCCGAACCACTCATTCCAGCAGGAATCACACTTCGAAGCTGCTCCAATGTACGGATCGTGTGCTCGTCGTCGTCGGCATCGTCGTCATGGTGGTAAGCATCCGGACTAATAGAAGATCTGTTTGTTGCCGCAAGTTTCAGATATAGCATCACCGATCCTGCAACCGCTGCCACAGACAGGACCAGACCGGGAGGCAACGAAGGGATGGTAAACTTGACAGTATATCCCATGGTATCTCAGTACCTTCGATCTTTGGCGTTTCGTATTGTGGGGGCTTCACCTGTTGCTGTGTTGCTGTTTTTGCTGTTAATCGAAGATTCTTCAGTCATGGATACCATACCCAAAAGATCCACCGGGTTCTCGTACCAGGGACATCTATCTTTGCTTGCTACAAAGCCAACTAACTGACCGACTAATTCTACCAAAAGCTACGTCCTATCGTGATCTTTACAGGCTGTCTAAGAGATGCCCCAAGCCAAGCTGGCACCTACCGTATGTGGCTGATCTTGGCGCGTGTTCATTTTTCTGGTCCAACAGGTGCCAAAACGGAAAATCTACCGTACCGTACCGTACCGTACCGTACCGTACCGTACCGTACCGTACCGTACCGTACCGTACCGTACCGTACCGTACCGTACCGTACCGTACCGTACCGTACCGTACCGTTCCGAAGGGCGAAAATCCCATCAAGCTCAGGGCACATCATTCTTGTTGTCTTTGTTGTTGCTTAGCATGGCACCACTTCCGGCAGTGTTGCCAGATCTCCGGGCTACATTGGATAGTGAGCCTGTAAAGCCAGGAAACCGCAGCAACTCCCAATAACTTGTTTGGTCATCATGGGCTCTGGCAGCTTCGCAGACGTGGAATTCCACCACCTCACCACTTTTGGGATGATGAGCATTCTATGTAAAAGAAAAGAACGACAGTCAGTGCGAGCAGTGAGCGAAAATGCATTCAACATGGCTGAGCAACCACAAGTAAGGGCATTTATGTGTACGCACCGTCAGACAATTGTCCAGCGTGTACCCTAGATACTGTCCTATTTCAAATCTGCTAGGTGCTGTAGGATCGGAACTGGGAGTAAAGCTACCACTCAGGGCAAAGAATCGCTGGGTGGGATCGTTTGGGTCGCATTCGGTAGTTACATAAATAGCACTGGCACGTCTGTACAAGCAGTGGTGGTCGAGCGTTTTGATGAGCACCTCTCGATGATCTTGGCTTCCACTGTATGCGCTTCCCAAATCGTCAAAGAAGAACCATTGCCGTTCGTCTCCACTCAAGCATTTCCCAATATAAAGTTGGGTGGATGTACAGTTTCGTTCCTCCAAGCCGTACCAACAAACTCTAGTGAGCGAGGGAAGAAACATGATGGGGACAAAAAGGCAGTGTCAGCAGCATCCTCGCGATCATTTTTGCCAGCTACAACCGTCATTCTCATGTTTCACTCACCCGCTCCCTGGATAGCCATCATAATTTGAAACCATACACCACTCTCTGTCCAAAGTTTCATTCTGCCTACAGGAAACAAAAAGTGTGAGGAGGATTGATACTCTCACAAGAAACAAAGAACGTTAGGAGAAATTCGTTGGAAGCTCAGTTCACTAACGTGTGACAGTAGTATCCTTCGCTCCCAGTACAATTTGATGTGAAAAGCACCAAAGGAGCCTGGTTGCTGGTGTTCGTCAGGTGGTGTCGGTGTAGCGTGGTATTCCATGCGCAGACATTCATAGTCCGATGACTTGCTCGCTTGTCACCACCATCGCCAGAATGGGCACTGTCTTATTAGTCTTCGCAAAGCATAGGCAATCCTTTCAGAGGCAGTCGTCTTCCAGGTTGTTTGCAGGTGGGGATGTAGATTCGGATCATGTTCGGTGTGAAATCTATGTGCTCTTTTGTCCCATCGATAGGTTATGAAAACTCACCGTCACTGTCGACAATCTCCTTCACACACTTTTAACATGAATGCCATGGATGACACGATGAGAATGAGCCACTACTGCATAATACTAGTACTCAGTCGGAAAGTCGCCACTGAAGAAAGAAACTCACCCAGTAGGGGATACCGAGAATAGAAGATTCCATTGTTTCCCACGTATCTTCACCTAGTGCCAAAATTGACGTTGTGATGCTTGTCATGGATCTCTACGCCTGCCGACCACC